AATAAGCCGTTCTTATTAATACAAATCTCCCTCCCTTTTGGAAGGAATCAATTTTACTCCCTCACAGTAGAGAAGGTCTCATCCAGGTCTGATATGTGGGCCGACACTTGCTTTGACTTCACCAGTAAGTCGTCCTCATAAGCCTCCAAATTGCGACCGGTCTGGTGCTTGAAGACCTTGCTGACAAGTCTCTGATATGTAGCCCCAGCGTTCTTCAAACCAAACGACGTCATCTTGTAGCAATAAGTGCCTAAATCAATGATGAAGGAGGTCTTCTCCTGATCATGCTCTGCTATGAAGATCTGGTTATAGCCGGAGAAGGTGTCCAGGAAGCTGAGCAGCTCATGTCCCGCACTCTCGTCAACTAGCTAATCGATTCGAGGCAGAGGATAGCTGTCCTTAGGACAAGCTTTGTTGAGGTCGGTGAAGTCCACGTACATCCTCCATTTGTTCAGTGCTTTCTTCACCAACACAACATTAGCTAACCACTCCGGGTATTGGACTTCCCGGATGAAGCCAGCTCTAAGAAGTTACTTGACTTCATCGGTCGCTGCCTTCTTGAGCTCCGGGCTGAGACTCCTCTTCTTTTGTTGGACATGCTTAGTGTGCATGTCGACAGCCAGCTCGTGGCTTATCACTTCGGAGGAACCCCCGACATGTCTTCGGATCCCCAGGCGAACAAATCAGCGTTTGCATGCATGAACTCTGTCAAGGCTCCTCGCAAGGACTCGACTAGATTGGACCCAATCTTGACCGTCTTCAGTCCTTCTTGGTCAATGGGTATCTCCTGAAGCTCTTTCACCAGTGTCGTCCTCTGCTGCTCTATTGATTTCTCCAACTGGAGGCAGACTTTCTCAATGGGCGTGGCGTCTTGCGCGTCCTTACCCTTGGTAGAGAGCAGGTAATAGGAACTAGCCTCTCGCTGATTGCTCCTAGCGACTCCGACTCCATTAGGAGTCGGGAACTTAACCATCTGGTGGTATGTTGAAGGGACGACTTGCAAGAGATGGAGTGCGGTTCGACCTAGGATGACATTATGGGCCGACTTGAGATCCATCATTAGGAACTGGACTTGGACGGTGGCTTGCCTAGGGCACTCTCCAACTGTTAGGGGGAGAGTAATCATCCCTTCTAGCAAAAGAGAGTGACCGGTAAATCTGACAAGGGATCCTCTATGGGGGAGCAGGCGGGATTTGTTGATGCCTATCTGGTTGGGGGCGTCGACATATAATATGTCCATCGAGCTCCCTATATCGGCCATGATTCGTTTCACCTAATAGCTATCAATTGCTGCGGTTATGATGATAGGATCGTCATGAGGCGTCTCAACGCCTTGCAGGTTAATATCCCCAAAAGATATGAGCTCCTCTGCCTTCGTCCTCTTATCGCCTTAGTCGACCCGCAACACCCTCTTGGCATATCTCTTTCGAGCGTTGTTGGAGGACCCTCCAGCAGTGGGATCGCCACTGATCATGTTGATGACCTCTTTGTGCCTAGGCTCCGGGGTCAGCTGTCTTGGCGCGGTCGAGGACGAGGCGATCGCGAGTGGGATCTTCTATTCTCCTTGGCTAGGGCAGCTTCTCTGCGACCTCGCTGAGAGATGAGGTTCTTCAAGTACCATCTCTCGATCAAGTCCTCGATATCCCTCTTAAGGATACGCCAGTCATTGGTGAGATGACCGAGATCCTTGTGATAACGACAAAACTCCTTCATCTTAGGAGCGAGCTCCTTGAGGTGTCCCTCCTTCTGAACCAAGGAGAGAGATGATGCAAGGTAGGTATTGAGGACTGTGAGAGCTAGTCTTGGCTGCTAGTCCCTCTGTCGGTCCCTCCTGTTGGACTGATTGGGACGAGAGCCAACTCTCAGAGGGTCTCTTGGCCACTCCTATCTTGTAGGGGCCTCTAGCCGACTTTGGAGCTGGTGCCACCGTTGAAGCCTTGGCCATCAACTACTCATAGTTTGCGACTGGCTTCTTGGCAAGCAAGTCGGCTAACTCATTACTCTATAGGCCGGCCACTAGTGCGGACATGGCAACAACACTCCCTGAGTCGTTGACATCCAACCTCTTCGCCTGGAACCTCTTGAAATAGGCTTGAAGGCTCTCGCCGGGCCCTTGCCTCATTTGAATCAACACATGAGGGGGCAGATTCTGCTTGGTGTCAGCCAAGAAGTGGTAGATGGACTTCCGACTGAGTTGTTAAAAACTTCTGATGGACTTCTTCTCAAGAGCATTCCACCATAGCTTGACACTCCCTGAAAGAGTGATGGGGAAGCATCGACAGACAACTGTTTCCGAATCTTGGAGCATGCTCATCACATCATAGTAGTTCTGAACATGTTTGGAGGGGTCTCCCTCACCTTTGTACTTCTCCACGTGAGGCATCTTGAACTTCTCATGGGGCATTTATAAGGTCATCTGAGAGAGGGGTGTTCCCCCCCATGGCGTCTATGACCAGTCTATACACTCAGTCGTATTCGAAGGCTCCTATGGTAACAGGGGGCGGGGAGAGGCACGATGATGGAGGAGAGTCTTAGAGACCACTCCCCTAGTGTGGTCCCCAAAGTGACCTGGGCATGGACTCTCACCAAAGGTCTACTGATGATGGTGGTGATGTCGGCGAGGCTCGTCAGCGCTAGCTGATCAACACAGTGGTGGGAATGCATGCTCGACGTGATGCCCAGCTGCTTGGTAGCAGCATGAGGAGTTCGAGGCTGGACTACTCGCTGAGCTCCGGAAGGAGTATGAGTCTCCGACCGTTGGTCTTCAGAAGGAGGAGGGAGAGCTGAGGTAGCTCGCTGTAGCTGCGGAAGCCGACTGAGAAGTTCTCTAGAAAGGGTAGCGAATTGCTCTTGGAGAGACTGAGAAAGCTTCTGAGCTGTTTCCTCAAGCTGGGCTAGAGTAACGTAGCTCTGATATGGTCCTACAGGGCGAAATAGATTAGACCCATGCTCATAACCCGACATGTTTTCTCAAACAAGAAAGATGCCCCACGATGGGCACCAAACTGTTGATGTACTAGTGATCACATAGTCAGTTATATCCGTGGTTAGATGGTGTTGTTGAGTATTGATGAGGGGGTCGCTTGTTAAATTCGTGATGAATCAAATCAGTTGAGAAGCAGGATTGAGTTTGGACTCTAATTAAGATTAGTTATACCATCCTAATTAGGATTGGGTTGAAGGAATTAATTGAATTGGGAAATCCAATTAGGATTCAAGTTAGAGTTCTAATAGGATTGAGCAAAATCCATAGGTTTAATTAACAACAAGAAGAAAAAAGAGAGATCTATATTCCACCATTGTTAGGGGTGTGTAGTTTCAATCTCTTGTAATCTCTTCTCAAAAGAAATAAGATTTTCCTCCTTCTCCCCGTGGACGTACACGAATCATCTTGATCGCATGGAATCATGTTATATCTTGTTAGATTTTGCTTGGTAGATTTGGGGTTTCTTGATTGTTTAAGTTTTATCTTCCGTGACTTGCATACTCCAACACCGCTTTCTTTCCCGATTTTATGTATGGTTCTTTGAGTGGGATTGATGAATCTGTATGAGTAGAAACTCATGAGAGGACGGGGTTAGGTTCCCCCGTGGTTCCTCCGACGATCAAGTCAGCTGATGAACTTGAGTGAGGAAAAATAAAAAATTGTGAGAGTTCTTGTGTATGCAATATATTTGCTTAAGGTAAGGATCAGATTTGTGAACCTTAGATTTGTGGGCTGTGGCGAAGTGTGGGCTGACAGCTGAGTCAGCATATGCTTTACAGGTGTCGACTGGCGACTGGATGAGCGATTAGCTCAACATTAAATAGGAAGTGATTGGTGGCATGTCGGTGCTTGCGTCGTCCGATGAGTCATGAAGGCTATCAGGGCTAGAAGCATGATACGCCTGTCATGCATTAAATGCGATGCAGACACGTTAACAGTGGGAGTGACTTGAGGCATAAGTTGTCCTTTAACTTCTCCGAGAAGTAACACCTTTCGAGAAGACGTCCAATATCTGGTCAAGTGGGCTTGTGACGAGTCGTCTTTGACAAAAGGGGGCGACATGTATCGCCTTTTGTGTCGACATAAGGAAATGTCGACTCGACAAGTCGGTTAAGTTATCATCCCTACTGGTCTCTGGCCGCCAACTTGATTGGGGCATAGCACGCAATACACGTGTCCTTTGTTGGGCAATGGGTTACTTTTTGGCGAATGAGAACACCATAATAATAGTGATATAAATGAGTAGGTGCCAACCTAGTTCGGATGTATTCATCTATTGTGATGCTACAAATTTTAAAATAAATTTGTAACTGTTAGTGATTAGCTGATTATTAATAAAGAAATTATTTTTATTATTTTATGTATTTTATGATTTTATGTATTTGTAAATTATATATTTACAAGTTATTAATAATATCATTGATTTTTTATTAAAATTTTGCTTACTTTATTGTTATTTACTCTTAAAAAAGTTTTTTTAAAAAAAAAAATGATCTGGCCGGCTGGGTGCCCGACCTAGGCCCGGGCCAGAACGGGCCAGGCCGAGCCAGCCAATTTGGACAGGCGTAGTTTAAAGTTGGCTTCACATTATTTACACTAGCTTTAATAGGATGGGCTGGAGATCCTAGCAATGAGGTCCACCTAAATGATGAATCTCCGAGTAGTAATCTCTTGAGCATGAAACATCATTAATAAGAGGTTGAAATAAGACCTTTGAATTGTTGAACAAATCAGAAAAATAAATATTGATGTCTTAATCTTTGAAATGTAGTAATAATAAAAAAGACAAGAGCCCTGCTATGTAAATTGCAAAGAACGGGTACCCATGGGCATTCATTAGGGGATGAGAGAAATAATTATTACTCATTTCTCTCTCTCATCCTCTAACGAGTGCCTATGAACACCCATTAGAAAAATCGAATCACAAAAATCAAAGATGCTCTACTACATACCTTTTGTTCGTGACGACTGAGCACCAATTAATATAATGATTACAAGGAAGTTCTATAAAATGTTATAAAAACCAGCCAAGATGAAAATATAGTATACTAATAGAGATCAATGTACAATAGAAGTGGAATAATATTTATGCTCCTAACTTTTGTCAAAAAGGGGGAAAAATAAAAAAGAGTTGGTCAATTGTTAAAAGGATTTCCTTGTGGAGGGCATGCAAGCGATCTTAGCCACTAAGGGTGGCCAAATTACCCGTAGTTCCCCCTTCATCCCACATGCTAGGCTCAGAACGCGCCGCAAGTGTTCTGATAGAATGTGTACTCTACCTTGTGTTGCAATTGCAACACGTCAAAAGCCTCTACAAAATCCCACAGGTCTCCCGCAGCAAATACTTCACAGTACAGGTATCTCTCAAAACCCACGGACCAAATTCCTCCCAGGTATAGATAAACACAGGTTGAGCAATCAGTGAAACCTTCTATAAATGTTGATAACAATAGCAGAATCTAAAATCACAACCAACCACAGGAAAATAGAATTTGGTTTCTTTTGCTTCTGCCTTGAGGATTTGCGAAGCTCTTGCCAAAGAAGATATTGCAAGAACAAACAAACATGTTCTTAAAACGTATGATAGAACTTCATACGGTAAACCTGTTACCCTGCTTGCCGCGCTGGAAGGAAAAAGGGTTGTTAACTTCTTTAATCATAGGGTTATAATACTGATAGCTTCTCATCCGAGTGTGGCCTAGGTTGAAAATTGAAAAGCTTTTTTTTTTCTACACATACCAAGGATACAGGAGTATTCACGCAGAGATATGCCAAGTTTTGACGCCATTGTTTGAACATCTTTCCT